AGTGGCCGGCCTTGAAGAGGTAGAGGGCCTCGCGGGCCTTGTCGCCCTCCCTGTGGGCCCAGAGGGCCTTCGCCTCGTAGATCCACTCCGGGGGGACGCACAGCTTCCGCGTCAGGAAGGCCTCCTTGTCCCCGGACTCCGGCGACTCCAGCAGCTTGCAGTGGCGGTTCAGCAGCTCCCGCACGGCTCTTTCCCGCGTTCTGGGGAGGGGGTGGAAGGGAGGGGAGGGTGAGGGACAGCCGAGGGGCTCCAGGGCGCCACATAAGGGCAGCTCAGGGTTGGAAGGGGGGGGGGCCCCCCGGGCCGGGGGGGGGGGGGCGTGTTTCCTCGCAGGTTCATGACCCAAACGAGGCCACGTCATCCGTGGCAGTTCCTTGCTTGGGACGTGGATTACGTGGCCGGTGGTCTGAGGTGCCATCTTCCTAGGCCAAGCCCCCAAATGCTGGAAGCCTGGCCCTCTTGGCAAGCCAGCCATCGACAGACCCGCAGAGATAAACCACGTCTCCACCCTTCGCACGAGAGAGAGGCCCTCAAGGGAGCAAAAAGGGCCCCAGCATCTCTCTCCTCCAGCAGTCAAGCGCCCAGGTGGGCAGAGATCAACTCCAGGGCCAACCTCAGAGCCACCGTCCAGTCGAGGGACACCCAGGCCACAGGCGGCATGCAGAGCCCTCTCCGTGGGCACATGTGCCCTTGCCAGCTGCTCTCCTGATTTCAGGCGCACCCCGGCCAGCTGATCTTCACGGGCGCCAGAGCACCGGAAAACAGCCCGGAAAGTGGCCAAAAAACCAGACCATTTCCTGGGCCATTTTCAGGGAGGTTTTGGGCCAAAACAGCCTTTTTTCTTACGCCCGTTTTTCTCCCTTACGACCGTTGCAGCATCCCCTGGGGTCATGCCATCAAAACCCAGGCCCATAAACATTCGTGTTTATGACGGTCGCAGCGTCCATGGGGTCAAAGTGACACCCCCTTCTGCGACCGTCTGGCACGTCGAGTCAAGGGGGAGGTCAGATTCGCTTAAAGACTCTTCTTGCGGGAAAGGTCGTAAAACGAGCCAAGGTTCACTTAACAACCCCAGCAACGGAAGCTCTGGGCTCAACTGTGGCTGCTGTCGCTGCCTTTGCAGGCGCTGGGGTCACTCACCGAGCGTTGGGGGTGTGCAGGTGGACGAAGACGGCCCACTCCCACAGCCCCTCCCTCTCCAGCTGGGCTGCGTAGCTGCTGTTCAGCACCCCCTGGCACTGCTCCGACAGGTGGGTGTAGTTCAGGGCCCGGAGCGCTTCCCACAGGTGCCAGCTGAGGCGGTGGTCCAAGGGGTCTGCCGTGACGCTCCGGGGGTCCAGCAGCTGGTGCAAGTCGTAGCACCTGCAAGGGAAGCCCAGGTCAACCCCGCTGGCTGTGCCGGGTCCCTCCAAGGGGGGCACCCACAACCCTTGCGGTGCCCTCGGAGCTGGCTGGTCTGCTTGCCAGGCGTTTCGTGGCCATCCCAGGCAACACCGTCAGGGACAGGAGGGCTCAGCTGGCACTAATGACGACGAGGTTGCCTCCTTTGGCCGATGGAGCATCGGCAAGGAAACCGCCCGGCCCGGAGGGCACCAGGGGGTCCTCCAAGTACAGGGAGCATGGCCTTTTGTGGAGCAGGAGAAGAGCGAGAGCTTCACTGGGCTCTTCAGCCAAGGAGCCGGGTGAGAATTCAGGAGAGCTGAATTTGGAATGGGAGCCACTTGGGCGTAGCTCTTAAAGCCAGATTAGGAATGGCGGAGCGGCTTTAGTCTTGCTTTTAGGGCAGGGCAGCTATGGCCCCTTTATGACGGGTGGACTTCAGTTCCCGAGCCAGCCCCCGTGGGATTCTGGGAGTTGGGGTCCACTGGTCGTAAAGCGAGCACAGCTGCCCAGCCCTGCCTCAGGGTGGCCTTGGGCCAGCCCCTTCCTCTCAGCCTGGGGAGGCGGCCAGGGAAACCCACTTCCAACAATCCTGTCCTGAACGCAGCAGCAGGGACTGGTCCAGGGGGTGACCAGAAATAAAAATAAGATAAAATACAATTTTAGAATTTAAATAGGACTGGGGGCCACAGGAAATCAAGGCGGCCAAAGGACAGGGAAGGGAGGGAAAGAAGAGACCCGCGTATGGCTTTCCCTGCCCCGGTTTAACATGCAAGAATCCATCCGGGGAGGTGGGGATTCTGGGAGCCGCAGCCCCAGGCCTCTGGGTGGGGGGTGGGGGAAGCGAGTGGGGGAGCCTCCAGTGTCCCTGGCTGTCCACCCAAGGCCTGGGGGGCGGGGGGAGAAGGCAAAAGGAGAAGGTACCTGTCACTGTACAACTTCAGCAGGTGGAAACACACGTCTCGCAGGGGCCGTTGGGCGTTGTCGTTCTCCGCCACGTAGCCGGAGTCTTCTAGGTAGGGAGGCAGCGGAGGGCAGGCGTATCCCTCTCCCTCTGGGGTGGCCTGGGGAACACGGAGCCCAGACGGGGGGGGTGTTTCGATCAAGCTGCCCCCACCCCCCTCCAGAGCTCTAGCCAGGCCTTCCTCAGTTATAGAGGAGCCCCCCCCTCCTCCTCCTCCTCCTTTCTCCCACGTCCCCCAACAAAGCTAAACGGGGATCCTCCACTCTGGCCAGCCAACCTTCCCCTCCCTCTCTTGGAAAATCTATATAACGTTTTATATTCAAAATCTATATAAAATTGCTTTCCTCCCCCTCTATTCTCTCTCTCTCTCACACATTTCAAAGCCACCCACCCATCTCCCTCACAGACTGGATGGTGTGCTATACAATTAACACGAATCCTTGAACTACGCAGGTCAAGCTGGATTGAAGGGGTTGGATTCCCATCATCCCCAACCAGTGGCTAAGGGCCATGGGAACAGGGGGCCACCCAGAGAAGCAGAGAGGCCCAACGACCCTCCTGGCCCTGACGACCGCTCTCTTCCCAAGGCAGAGCCCCCATCCAGGCGGGGCTCTGCGCTCCAGGCCACCCCCAGGGGCCGCCTACCTGGAATGCGGCTTCGTACACGCTGAGGGCCTTCGAAAGGGGGGCTGTGGAAGGCAGCAGGTACCACAGGTGGACCCCCAGGGAGCGCTTCCAGTCCAATTGGGAACAGACGTTGATGGTTCTCTTCTCGGACAACTGCCACACCTGCAGCGGGGAGACCAAGGGCTGAAAAGGGGCCCGCGGCCACAGCGGCCACAGCGGCCGGGGGAGAAAGCAAGCGCCACACCACTCACCGGCTTGCCAGCCAGGAGGCAGAAAATGCGCAGCCGCTCGTCCTGGATGAAGCCGTCCGCTTGGAGCTGGTGCCAGTCGGCCAACTGCAGGGCCAGCAGCTCCCGGACCTCCTGGCTCCCCACCAGCTGGGAGAGGAGCAGAGACAGGCGGAGATCCCCTGCAACGGAAGAGCTCGGACTATGCGGCATGCAACCCACCCACCCCCCACCCAGGCCGGCGGAAGAAGCTCGCTGCAGACCCCACCCCAGGGCCCGGGACCCTCTGGACTACCTCGCCCCCTGGGGTGAGGCCCACCCCTGCCCCGTTGGCCACCCACCCACAGGGGCCCTAACACCTGGGGGGGCCTGCCCTGTGTTGGGGGGGGTTGGTGGAACAGGAAGGAGACCCCCCCCCCATCCACCCGTGGCATTCTGGGCTTTTAAAACTGACTTCATCTCCATTCATTCTAAGGCTTCTGCCAGAGGTTCAGGCCGGGTGTGGCCCTTCCCCAGGGGGTCTGAGACAGGCAGAGGAGGGTGTCAGGTGGTCTTAGAAGAAAAGTCAGCTGTTCCAAGCAAAGCTGCCTTTTGCCCTTGGCCTCCTTCCGTCTCCAGGGACCAGGGTGCCAGGCTCTGGAAAGAGGCCCTCAAACAGCCTCTGGTGTGGCTAAAAGGGCCAACTGGAGGGAGGCCATCCCTTCCACACGGAGCACAGCGAGCCCTTTGCTGGGCGACTATTTCCGCACCCCCTACACACACACACACCCCGGGGGGGGGGAGGCCAGAGGGGCCGGGCCTGGGCTCTTACCAGACTGCTGGGCCAGGTGGCAGGCGTTGCTGATCTGCTTCCCGGTGAGGTAGCTGAAGACGGCCTCGGCGGGAGCGTCGTTCTGCCGGAGCGCAACCTCCTCCTGGATGCGATGGGCCGCGGTCCGGGAGAGCCAGCGGGAGAAGGCCCTCCGGCGCTCCAGCAGCAGCCCGTACTCGCTGGGCTCCTCCAGGCGCCCCTCCAGCTCTTTCAGGCGGCCCCAGAGCGCCTCGCACAGGCGCCACACCAGGCCCCAGGCCCTCACCACCGCTGCGGGAAGAGAGCGGCCGCAGGCGTCAGTCAGCCTGGCCACCGGGAGGTTTCCCAGGCAGCCCTCCAGTCGCAACCCTTCCTTGAGTGACCGCTCCAAGTTACAGCGGCACTGGAAAAAGGCCCCCTTTCTCACCCCCCACGACCGTTGCCAGCATCCCCACTGGTCACCTGATCCAAATTCTTGCCAGCCGGTTCATACTTACGACGGTCGCAGGGTCCAAGTGACCCCCTTTGGTGACCGCTGGCTGACAAGGAAAAGCCAGGTTCCCTTTACAACAGCTAACAGCCGCAG